CGAGGGAAATTCAAGTGTAATGTACTACATTTATAATGTTATAAATGACTATATATTAACTAAAACATCAGTGGGGACTTAGGTGACTGAAATTATGTGGTTGTATTTTCCTCAAAGGCCCCAGAGCCCCCTACCAGATATCAAAGCACTTTATTAGCCAAGAAAAAGATCACTGATGAACACTTAACATCTTTTCTTGGACATGTGTCTAATGCTTGTCCACCTGTCATGGCGGCTGGTGCATCCATATTTTAATCAGCTGCTTTCATTTATGTTTCTCGTCAGTCAGACAGATTTTCCATATAATGATATGACCCCTAACTTAATACTGGCACAGTAAACTAGCAAAGTAATCCAGAAGGCACTTACTAGCAATTAAATAGAACTGATGATTCTAATAGAAACCAGGTAGTAATGACAGCGCCGTGGTCTCAGAGAAAGAGACCCTTCACTACACACACAATTAGGATAATAGTCTTACATCAGGTTCCATTCCCTGCTTAAAGAAGGGTCAGATGCAATGAAAGAGCGAGCATACACTGAACACACAGAATCGCACACACCCTCAACAGAGCGGAGGCTGAAGTAATGACTTCAGCGGAAGGTTAGTACCTCTGCAGCCGAGATGCATTAATATTTTATGGGGAGATCCTGGGTGGTGCATGCATATGAACGGGACTCTCCTAAAGTATGAATCTCTCCTCGGAGCTTCTTGTCATCGTGTACACAGGCCTCCATAACTCCACATTAGCAACAGAACAACTGTCCCACACTGCGGCTGTACAGACACACAGCAGTTCTCACTGTATTTGGTGGTTCGAGCTAAATAAAGTAAAGAGAACATGGAGGTTTAGTCCAAGGTGAGTTGAAACACTCACAGCCTTGATGCGTTCAGGCTCACAATTGTCTTATAATTGTAATTATAAAATCACAACAGTAGATGTTCCTATTTGACGTTACAACTAAGTCAGTGTTATATTACAGCTTGACCGTTCCACTGGGCTAGCAAGCTTCCTCCAGTCTGTCTTGTATTCACAAGCACTCGCTACCAGAGTAAAATGCCATAATAATGCATGGTGTGTCTGCCCCACAAGCGTCTAGTAATCTCAATTTCTCCTCTAGGAGTTATATGCTTTTTATGCATTAGCTGCATTCTTATTTATACAATGCATTTTAATGATATTAAAAAACGTAAAAACGTAGTCTGCCGGGTTTGTTTTATTAAACGTTTCCTTAGTGGGACAAATCATTTCAAAAGCAAGTGTTGAAAAAGAGGGCGTATAATCAGGTCAACTGTTGTTCAGGCCAATACGGTAGTATTTAGGTTTTAGCTCTCATGTTTACATTACAGTGCCATAAGCCTGTGACTCATCATGCTCAGACTGGTAATTCTAGGCCTAGACCTGCCTGCCTCAGTGAAGCGGTCCTTTATGGAACACAGTACAAGTAGGTTTATTATCCTCATCTTTTTGTAATTATATTGCTTTTATTATTATGATGATATTATAATAAAAGGGCAATGTATGTTCCAATCCTGTAATTATATTTTTTTCCACATCAACATGGTCACCAAGAGTCAAATTTATGTTGGTTACTGAGGCCACAAGCTTCCTCATCAAATACAGATCTTGAGAAAACTCTGCTCCAAATTGACTGTTCTTTATTGTGCCATTTCTAATTAGTAGAAAAGTAGAAGCTCTATTAGCATGAGCATTCGCCAGCTATGAATATTCACACCTCAGATGAAAATATTCACACACTCCCACATGCCTCTTCACATATACAGACAGAGCTATACATCATTGCCACATTTGCACCAAGGGCCTGTACATCTGAACTTATTTTCTCAATTAAAACAAATGGGAGAGGGACACAGAGTAGGCGCTACAACTGTAAACTGGGGATCACTGCGGTCACATTCTAAAAGACTGAAAAGATTCTCCATCACAAATATGTAACTACTGAAGAGTAATTCACAGCATCACAGCACTCAGACCTCATTAGACAGGAAAAATGACAGGGTCACAGACTCAATCAATTCAATCGCTGATTCCTTTTCTCAAATTCAGGCGTATTTGATTGTCTCAATTCTGACTAGTCTGAAGCTCAGTCAAGATAATGTGCAGACTGTGTGAACGGTAGGGGTAATAATTGAGTTTTAAAAGCCTTGTAAAGTGGTCCAGTTTCACTGCAAGGTCTACTGTTCCAAATGTACATCATTTTAAAGACGAGTATCTGCAACTGTGTATTTAAACAGCAATACACTTAAAGTACAGCATAAATCCCACAATGTGTTAGAAGTTCAAATGCATCCTTTAGATTTTACTATTCTTGAAAGAGGTTAATAAAACGTAGCATAGTAGCATTAACCCAGACCTCACAGATTGAGAGCATTTGGCTGCATTGACAAACTCAGAATTGGTTAAGGAAATAAACAAACAGCAACAAAGCTATCAACAAGTACAAAAGGTCATGGCCTATATAAAATCTTCTGTAAGACTGTGTCACTCATCTGACCAGACTGAATGAGTTTGACGCTTCAAAATGGCTACAATGCATGATGCAATGAAAGCTCTAGGTTGACTGATACAATACTAGGTTCCATAAGCAGGCTGTGATGCACGCAGCCTTATCTGATGCTTGTTATGCATGTATGCCAAGTATGGTTACAAAGAATCAAAATGGGTTACATAACCCATTTACGTGTAATAACAGGGATTGGAATCAGTGACACATTTGGATGACAGAATGCAGACCAATTGTTAGCCCTTCAAGACAAGTAACAAGTCTTAGCTGATTAAACCCTCAGCATTTAATCAAACACAATCTGTGTCTTCACCACTGCAAGGTGGTTACAGAGGGAAAAACATTGTGTGTGTGTGTGTGTGTGTGTGTGTGAACTGACTAACCAAGGTAGAGTTAAGCTTCCTGATCTCAAAAGTGTTTGGACTCAAAGTTAAATTACATGATCAAACTGAGCTTTTATTTAATGATCAAAACAGAGCAGGCCACCAGATCAACAATCCTTTGGTTACCAAACAGCTACGAGACCTGAGCTGCTGTCAGCATCACCAGGCAAATACATCCAACTAAAGCTGGGAAGCTGGTGGCACTGTGTCACAATGACTGATTTCCTCCATCATCTCACTGTTCTCCCAAACATCAGCACTGCCGCAACTTTCTCATTATCACACACACAAACTACAAGCAAAATCCATTATCTGCTACAGCTTTTCTCCCTCTGCCTAGCTCATCTAGTTATTAATCAACACAGCTGCCTGCCAGATATTATTGTTGACCATTGTCAGTCACTCTCGCGCTAAAGTCTAGAGAACACAGGCCTTCTCAATCATGGTTAAAACGAATCATGCTCGTTTTTGTTTTGTTTTTTTTGTCAGCAGCACAATCTGACATTACCGTGTCTAAACATTCCCCCTTTTCCTTCAGCTCCCTGCCTCAGCTCTCGCATCTGCACCAGCTGAAAATTTCAATAGCTCGCGTTGGGTGTGGCTTATAGCTACACACTGCTTATAGCCGTTAAACAGGGGGATGGGAGGCGGACCGTGGTATCTATACATCAGCACTAGCCTGAATATACTCGGCAGCACTGTCTCACATGTAAATGCAGCCTTTGTTTGCTCCTCCCATGTCTATGCTGATGACTGAGCCTGGTTTATTGTTATGGCGTGCAGTAAATTCTGTTGAACTTTGAGCTTCCATCTTGGCAACGACAGGCAGAAAATGTCCGCTGGAAAAACAATGTACCAGCAAAATGAACCAGTACACAAGCAGGTTCAAATCAGTAAAATAGGCAAAGGCAGTACAGGCATCAGGTGTTAGTCAATATATCAATATAAAACATGGTAAAATGAGCATCCTCCTACAGTATAGTTTTAATTACCAAGCGATTTAGCTTTGACTCTCAGCTCCAACTTCTTTTTCTATTCTCCGGATAGTTCAGATATTTATTATAGTGCTATCAATAGATCATGTGGCCGGAGATGATGTGCGAGATGCAATTCAGCAGCTTGTCTGATATACATGAAGATAAACATTTTATCATAAGATAAACATTTTAAATGCCAACAATGTACCATCTTAAAATGAAAAAAATAAATAAAAAATATTTCTTTCCCTTGAAATCCCTTAGACTTAAGGGGGTCAGGATTTATTAGTGTTTTCCCCCTAAATCAGACTAAGTAAAACAAGCTACTGTGTTAACATTGCACATCTGCATTTCTGGCCAGTACTTTGTGAAATGTATCAGTTTGATTTACGGATGCAGAGGAAGAGAATTTTCTTTGTCTTTCTGTTAAATAAATATGTGAATTCTGTGGTCTGCATTTGCCATGACTATTGACATATTATTAAACTAAATAAAAAAAACAAACATTAATAAAAGTAAATGATCAATTGATTTGCTAATTGTTTACTGCAGCCCAATCTCTGGGTTGAATATGCATAAATCTCAATCAGTATGGTAGTACAATGACAGGGTTTTCATATGTCACTTGTTCATCCGGCTCATTAAATTCCGCAGTGGTTTAGGCACAGGTTTAGGGTTGTGTTAAAAAAATACTACGTTGCTTTGAGTAGGGTAAGACCTGAAAGTTCCATTTACTGGTTTATTTTAACAAAACATGTGCATTTCAGTGGTTTACAAAACCGTATTAAGGGCTGTGACTACATACCCGATCTTGGCCTTCTGCTTGGGCTTGGAGGAGGGTACAATGCAGGCCTTCCTACAGGCCTTCTCTTTGAGCCGTGCCTTGCCGTTTCCTTTGTGCTCACGGTCACGGTGGGTCTTGTACTGTGAGGAAGAGCTGGGGAAGCTCTCAGGGCTCATAACTCTGGGGATGTTCTTCTCTCCACGCTGCCGGGCCTTAGCAATAGCCTCTGATATTATCCTATTGGCCTTCTCCTGCTTGTCCTGTATAATTGCCTCCATCTGATGATGCGTCCTCCGCGGTGTCCTCTTCTCCGATGATGAGCTGGATGAGGATGAAGACGATGAGGAAGAGGAGGAGGACGATGAGCTGCTCTTCATTGGGGGACTGAGGACCCGTACTTGGCTGCCAGGACCATTAGCGTTCTTTCGAGGCTAAGGAAAGAGGGACAAAATAAAGACATAATTAATAATCACATTTCAAATTATTGATCCTCTTTAAGGCAAATATTTTGGAAATATTATTAGACATGATGTCATCTAGATGACACAAACCCAAGCTGCAGTGCTATGTGTATAGAAAGACCCAGTCAGATACACACACTTGACCTTAAAAGCAGAGCTGAGTGACTGAAGCTGATGCTGTACAAAGACAATCTTTAGCAGATTCTCTCAGAGACAAAAATATCAGACCGAACTGAGTTTATCTGAGAACATTATACATTACATACATACATACATACAACAAATAATGATATTAGAATAAAATGACTGTTATTACAGCTGCTTGCTATGAACAAGGTTATTAAAGCTCATCTAATAGGCGAGTAATACAAGCAAACCTTGATTTCCTTTACAGAAAATGGTGCCAACACATTAAGATGTCATTTGGCTGTACAATAAGCAGAGTTTGAATGTGATCATCAAAATGAATTGGAGGCTTTGAAGAAAAAAAATACACTGCCAACCACTGCAACCCCTTTATGAAACTACAATATACAATATGCTGCGATGTGACCACTCATTCAGAAAACACAACCTCCTGGAGGCTGTGTGAACCTGTCAGACAGCAGCGCTCGTTTCTGTTCCCATCTCAGATGCTGGGAAAGGGGAGCGGACCTGTCTCACGATGCTCACATCAACTTTCAGCCTCCTGTGTACTCTACTAGCAGGCCTTCAGCATGAGAAAAACCGGTGTTTGCCCCATGAATTCATTTAGATCCGATGCAGAGCACTCTGAAACCATGTGACATGAAAACTCTAAGGCCAACTCAATGACATTCTTTTAGGTGGAGCAAGCTATGCAAAGGTAGGTTAAACACTGGCTCAATGTAGCAGGTTAGAGTGAGCCTTGCAGACATAAATAATCCATCCTGGCTGATACATGATAATACTTGAATAATAGATGGTGTGACTGTGGTTATGACTACACAAGCGCCCTGTGGTGGGCCTTGAGCCCAGTGGAGAGGGAACCCATAAATGGATGACCTAATCTAAAAATGTGTTGCGTATGCCTATATGGCCCAGGCGCGGCCGGTTGCTGCTTTTTTTTTTTTTCCAGACTGCTAGCTAAATAAAGAGAATTAGCTTAAACCTCGCCAACAAAGTGGGGGGAGGGAGGTGAATAACTAACGATTCATTTGGAAGGAAGGGGGAAAAA